AGACAAAGTAAAGTATTCTAATGAAATGGGCAAACACCTGGAGTTAGAAAAACAAAAGGGAAGTACATGGTTGTCATTTCTTAAGATGAAAGAACTGAAGAAAAAATTCAAGCTCAAGTTGCAATATTGAAGGATTCTATGGGCAAAATATTGAATGACGCAGAAAGCATCAAAAGAAGATGGAAGGAATACACAGAGTAACTGTGCCAGAAAAAATTGGTCCATGTTCAACCATTTCAGGAGGTAGCATATGATCAGGAACCAATGGTACTGAAGGAAGAGGTCCAAGCTGCACTGAAGATGTTGGTGAAAAACAGGCTCCAGGAATTGATGGAATACCAACTGCGATGTTTCAACAAATGAAGTTCTGTTAAGCCAAGCAATTTGGAAGACAGCTACCTGGCCAACTAACTGGAAGAGATCCATATTTCTGCACATTCCAAAGAAAAGTGATCCAACAGAATGCAGAAATTATCAAACAATAGCATTAATATCACAAACAAGTAAAATTTTGCTGAAGATCATTCAAAAGTGGTTGCAGAAGGGAACTGCCAGAAGTTCAAGCCAGATTCAGAAGGGGGCTTGAAATGAGAGATATCATTGCTGATGTCAGATGGATTTGGCTGAAAACAGAGAATACCAGAAAGATGTTTACCTGTGTTTTATTGACTATGCAAAAGCATTTGACTGTGTGGACTATAATAAATTACGGATAACATTGAGAAGAATGGGAATTCCAGAACACTTGATTGTGCTCAGAGGAAGCCATACATAGACCAAAAGGCAGTCATTCAAACAGAACAAGGGGATACCGTGTAGTTTAAAATTAGGAAAGGTGCTCATCAGGGTTGTATCATTTCACCATACTTATTCAATCTCTATGCTGAGCAAATAATCTGAGAAACTGGATGATATGCAGAAGAACATGGCATCAGGATTGGAGGAAGACTCATTAGCAACTTGCGATATATAGATGACACAATTTTGCTTGCTGAAAGTGAAGAGGACTTGAAGCACTTACTGATAAAGATCAAAGACCACCTTCAGGATGGATTACACCCGAACATAAAGAAAACAAAATTCCTCACGACTGGACCAGTAAGCAACATCATGATAAAAGGAGAAAAGACTGAAGTTGTAAAGGATTTTATTTTACTTGGATCCACAGTCAATGCCCATGGAAGCAGCAGTCAAGAAATCAAATTAGGCAATTCTGCTGCAGAAGACTTCTTTAAAGTGTTCAAAAGCAAAGATGTCACTCTGAGGACTAAGGTTCGCCTGACCCAAGCCATGGTATTTTCAATTGCCTCATATGCATGTGAAATTCGGACAATGAATAAGAAACACCAAAGAAGAATTTAAGCCTTTGAATGATGGTGTTGGCAAAGAATATTGAATATACCATGGACTGCCAGAAGAACGAACAAATCTGTCTCAGAAGAAGTATAGCCACTATGCTCCTTAAAAGCAAGGATGGCGAGACTTCATCTCACGTGCTTTGGACACGTTATTAGGAGGGACGAATCACTGGAGAAGGACATCACTCTTGGTAAAGCAGAGGGTCAGCAAAAAAGCAGAAGACCCTCAACGAGATGAACTGACACAGTGGCTGCCCCAATGGGCTCAAGCATAACAAGGATTGCGAGGATGGCCTGGGACCGTGCAGTGTTTCTTTCTGTTGTACATAGGGTTGCTATGAGTCGGAACTGATTAGGGGATACCTAACAGCAACAACATAACTTATTCCATTACGTCTAATGCAGGGTCCTAAGCTGCTGGCAAGGAACCCTGGGGGCGCAATAGTTAAGTGCTCAACTGCTAACTGAAAGGTTGGTGATTCCAACCCATTAGTGGCTCCATGGGAGAAAAGACCTGGTGATCTGCTTCCATAAGGATTACAGCCCAGGAAACTCTATGGGGTAGTTCTACTCTGTCATATGGGTTTGCTGTGAGATGGAATTGACTCGACAGCACACAACAACAAGCTGCTGGCACTAGACAGTGACTCAGGTGGCGAATGAAGGATAAGAAACTGTCAGGCCACACTCTGATAAACAAAACCACACAATAACTATACAAATACAGATTATTGCCAGGACAGAAGACGATGATTGTTCCATTGTCTGTCCCCTTTCTATGCACACTTCTGAAGAAGTAGTTTTAGTCCTGTTCTGAGTTCTCGACAAGGATATTCTTGTTGTCTTAGATTGTATCGAGGTGCAAAGAAAAATAAACTTACCATTATCAGTAAACCTCCAAAGTCTCCCAACTGAAGCACTTGATGAAACTTTTAAATAGTTAAATGCCTCAATTGTTAATTCTATAAAAATTATTCTGAATTGCAGTGCTTTTCTAAAGTCCACTGAATAATTCTAGATATTTCTATTTGCTGCAGGAGAAAATGAAAGCAGAATAGAAACTTCCTGGACAGCTTTTTAAAAGGATATAAACCATCAATATCACCTTCATCCCCCGCATCCTCTAAAGAAATTATTAGTTGCATGTTTATGTTTACTATGATTAGCTTATAGTTTGCAATATGTTAAATGTATAATGCAGTTGTGCTTTTTATTGTGTTTATATTGTTTATTGCACATTGAGTTTTTATAATTACTATGTACAATATATGTATACCCATATTACATTATTTATTAAAATTATAACATTTAAAATTTTTGTAGAATTTCATAAGTGCTATGTATAAAATTTTTATTCAGTTAAAAAGTATTTATTGGGAGTCCGCTATATGTCAGGCATCCTTAAGGTGCCAGTAAGAGAGCAATGAACAAATCCTGATTTTAATAACTCATTGTTGGGAAATATATCCATATGGTATTTGAACTAGTTATTATAATTTTCATGGTCTATAGCAAAGTGCTGTAGTGAAATACAGTGACTGTAATTTAATAATGTTAAAGAATTTTTTTAAAACAGATAATCCATTACTAATGTTAACATTCTCATGACCAATTACCTTTGTATTATCTTGTCAGTTACTTGCATTGAAAATCCAGTTGCCTCATTACTAATAGTGCTTTAATTTTATTGCTCTAATTTTATGCATGATGGCCACACAAATTCTGCATATGTTGTTGAATCTTGCAGTTCCACAAGATGGTTAATATCCTTGGATAATAACCTTGGATAATATCTTGCTTGTTCTTTCAGTTCTGTGTGTTTGTTCTTTCAATTCATCTCTATTTCATTCTCTCTCTCTCTCTTCTCCTTGTGTTTGCTATTCTTTTTCTCAACCCCTAACCCCATCACAAACTTTCCTGGCAAACTTGTTGACTCTAGGGCCCCTTTGTGCCATCTTAAAAAGAGAATATTATGTGAAATATGCTTTAGTAGCATGCCCTTGCTGCTTATATAAAGAAACACTGTAGGTAGAATAGCACTGCACTCTTCTGTGATATAGTTCATTACCAAGGATCTACAATTTATTATACCCATTGACATCGAGTCGATTAATGTCCCTCAGATAAATTTCTCTATGAGCATTTTGATTGGAAAAAATGTTTATTATTCTTGAAAAACTAACAATTATTATTACACACTGAGACTTGTGTAATCAATTGCATTTTTCCACAACTGCCAGGCAACTTAGAGCCAGAAGCCCAGTCCAGGCTTTACGCACCTTCAAGTTTATACAATTTCATGAGCCTTGTTTAAGAAAAGCAGCCCTGGGCGTGCAGTGGTTAAGAGCTTGGCTACTAAACAAAAGGCTGGCAGTTTGAAAACACCAACTGCCTCTTGGAAACCCTATGGGGCAGTTCTACTCTGTCCTATAGGGTTGCTATGAGTTGGAATAGACGTGATGATGGCAACAGGTTTGGTTTATTTTTTGGTTTAAGAAAAGGAATTCAAAATAATGAATACAAAATTAGGTACAGACTTTGGAAAAACCCCATTCAAGTCCAGGGCCTTGAAGCTTAAACTTTATTAGCTACAAATAAATGTACTTCTGCTTGGAGTTTTATGCCCAAAAGCTACTCATTTCCTACATCAAAATTTTTTAATGCACTAGGTACCCTCTTGTCCTAACAAAATTGTTATCTAATGGTTGGTTACTGAAATTTCTGTATAATCTGGAAATTATAAAAAATGATAGACACATATACACCTTAAACATACTATTTAAACTTAAAACATAAATAAGCATTTGTTTGCTAATCTTTTGATTGTTATCCAAGGCTTTTTCTTTGGGTAAAAAGTTAAGTGGAAGTTTGCAAAGAGTTTTTTTTTTTTTTTTTTTTTTTCTTAATTTCCCAATCCTCACTTTTTACAACCTGATTTTTATCTCTTTATTTGGGACTAATAGTTTTGCATTTCCTGTACCTATACTTTTATTATAAGCTGCCTCAAAATTGTTTCAATACGATGGATTAAAATGATCACTTTTATGACTATTTGTATATAGAGTCTCTGTTTTATAGATTATTCATGGTAATGTTATAATACCGAGCTGATTATCTTGGGCCTTTCTGAACTGCTTTCTTTAAAGATTTGGCATATGCTATGTAAATAAAACAAAACTTAACTTCATCCTACTCAAATCATATGACGAAGTTTTTATTTTATATAATTTTTACCCTGCCTATGCATTGCTTCAACTTTTCAAAATCCTAGATAATTGATAATTGAATACATATTAGGTATCATTTCTTATACACATGGCTTGTTTTTAAGTACACTCATAAAGACAAAGTGTTTCTTGATTTGCTCATTCTCTATGTCCGGTGCAGATCAGTTGAGGACTCTCTGTCAGCATCTCCCAGAGTCCAGGTTGATGGTGGAAGAGGTGTGTGTATGTGTGTTATCAGCAGAGAAAATAGTATTTAGTCAGTATTTCAACATAGTTTTTGTGTTGAAATTAGCATATGCCTGTTATTCACCTTTTAAATTTGCATGGGAACAAATTGTAGAGATATTATCTATTGCTAATCTGTTTTGTCACACAACAATGAACAGCAAATAATCATTGGTATTTTCATCCCTACCTTGTGGTGTGGAGTTTTAAGAACATGCATTAGTGCACAGATGTGTACTGTTCTTTGAAATCTACATCCAATCTTCTGGGCTCAGTTTCAGAATCCAGTGTATCATTTAAAACAAAAATAGTTTGTTCTTTCATCTGTACAGCATAACAGAAGAATTTTAATCAAAGTCAGACACATATTCTGAAAGAAATCGTCTACTCTTCCATGAAAGAGCTAAATTTCAGTACCTGACTTCGAATTTTAGTTGTTCAATAAATTAATTTCACACGTCTCATGTTGAGTCATCCAAGATGGTGTGATTTCATTCCTTAACAGCCAAGAGATAGTTTGTTTCATAGTGTTTGCCTTGCTATGAGTTATAGTAATTTGTGAAACCCATTAATACAGGAAATTTGATTGTATACCACTTTGCAGACAAAAATAGCATGTCATTGCATGGCTGAGAAAAAACAATTAAACACTTTAAAAATATTTTGTGACAGAAAGTGGTATTTTAGGTTATTATGAAAATACTGCCTAAATCAATAGGCCTTCTAAAACTGTAAAATTTATAATCTTGAATTCTTTTAGAACAATCTGAGATTCTTTTCTGAATATAATATAACCATTCATCATTACAAACTATAGTTTCTGAAACTTGGCTATTGTTAACTTTTTTAATACGTGACAGTACAAAATTGGAGAAGTACCTGAAATGGATAATGAAAATGATAGAGGATTGAGAGTGATGCCATAATAGAATGGACTAAAAATATTGGAGCTCTTAGGCCTGGAAAACCTAAAGGAGAGAGGTAATAAGACTGAAACATATCAGAATATGGAAGGTCTAAATAGGTTGAACAGAGACTATTCTCCTGCTTGGAGTTTTGGAAGAAGTTTAGAAAATGAAATTGAGAAACATTTTTTTAACACTATTTTTCATAGTGAGTTTTAAACATAGGTGATTTGACTTCAAGAGTTAATACATAGTAAAAATGCAAAACAATTCATGAAAGATTTATATATATCAAGGTTAATGGTACATCATAGGTTATTATAGGAAATGAAGACATGTGAGGGAAGTACATTCCTGACCAAAGGAAGAAGAGAACCATAGCTTATTACCCATCAGAGATAGAAAACTGCAAGAGGAATAATAACTCCCCTCTAATTAGTATGTTTTATTTTTTTTATTACGAGAATATAATAAATCTATAAAATACAGGCTACTGTGACAAATGAAAATCTACAGAATATAAATATTAATTGATTTACAAGATACGTCACTCTAGTTCTTCATTATTAAAAAACAAAACAAAAACCTGTTTCTTTCGAGTCGACTCCAACTCACAGCGACCCTACAAGACAGAGCAGAACGACCCCACATGGTTTCCAAGGAGTGGCTGGTGGATTTGAACTGATTAGCAGCTGAATTCTTAACCACTGGCCACCAGGTTCACCATAAATAAGGAAAATTTTATTAGTTATGACATATTCATAGTATAATTAAAATAAAGCTCAGATATTGCAAACATTCATAGGGAGAGCTTTCCTTAGTGATTACTCAAGTATTGACATCATAATTCATGGATCCAACTTCCTATGAAAGAAAATTGATGGCCTATTGCCAATGAGTAGAAGTATGCCATTAAAGACTATAAGCCTAACTTTAAAAACAAAACAAAACAAAAAGCAGCTTACCTTTTCCAGTTTGCTCTTTGAATGGCCACAAATTTTTATTTGTAATTCTTACTGAGTGCCTGAGTCAGGATACAACCAAACAACAGCCTGTAGACTTCGAGTCAATTCCTACTCATAGCGACCCTATAGGACAGAGTAGAATTGCCCCAAAGCGTTTCCAAGGAATGGCTGGTGGATTTGAACTGCTGACCTTTTGATTAGCAGCCAGGCTCTTAACCACTGTACCACCAGGGCTCCCAGTCAGGATAGGCTTGGTTATACTGTGGTGACAAAGAGCCCTAAAAGTCTCAGTACCTAATACAAGTGTTTATTGTTTTGCTCACTGCATATGTCCAGAGTAGATCAGTTGAGGGCTCTGTTCATCATAGTCTCTCAGAGACCTGGCAGATGGATGGAGCAGCCACTATTTGAAATGCTGCCAGTCACTCTGGCAGCAGAAAAGACAGCTCACCACAGGGTCTTAACTTTGGCAATTAAATGTTCTGGGCCCAGAACCCACGTCACTTCTGTTCATGACTCCATTGGCTAGAATTGGTCACATGGACTTGCCTAACGAAGCCAAGAAAAGGAAAACCAGAGAAGAAATATTGGCTGAACAGCACTAATGTTTCCAGGGGTCCCTGGACAGTGCAAACGGTTAAGCACTTGATATATGAACTGAAAGGCTGGCAGTTTGTAATCCATCCAAAGGTGCCTCAAAGGAATTTCCTGGCACTCTACTTTTGAAAGGTCACAGGCTTGAAAACCCTATGGAGTGCAGTTCTACTCTGCATGCGTGGGGTCGCCATGAGTCGGAACTGACTGAACTGCAGCTGGCTTGGTGTTTTTGGTTTACTAATGATTCCTTGCCTCAGTTGTAGCACCAACCTTAGTGGCGCAGTGGCTAAGAACTTGACTGCTATCCAAAATGGTGGCAGTTTCAATCCACCAGCCATTCCCTGGAAACCCTATGGGGCAGTTCTACTCTGTCCTATGTGGTTGCCATGAGTCAAAGTCGACTCGATGGCAACAGGTTTGGTTTTTTGGTTCCTATTTTAAAGGCAACTGTTACTTATAGAATGACTCATTTAAATATCGACCTGTTTGAAATGCAGCCATGACTTAAAAGTAATATTAACAGGGCTAGCAGAGTAGAAGAAGCCTTCTTAAGGGCCACCTCCTGCTGGGATGCCTTGCTAAGGTTTTAGTGCACTTCAAAAGCCTTCTATTAATTGTAAGCTTGGATGAAATTGCTATTTTGAGAGGTTAAGTGATGCCAGTTACAAAAACACTCAGAGTGGTCAGCTATTAGCAAGCAGACTGCCCCACTGGGAAACAGAAGTACATACTGTTATTGCTATTGTAAACCGAGAAGGATCTCAGACTCAAAAGATGCTTCATCAAGACAGTTGTTGAAAACTCAGCCATTTTAAGGACAGCTGTCTTGCCAAAAGCCACTTGGCTGGTTGCTACTTGATAATGTATAATAAATCAAGAAGTAGACTGACATCTCAAATGCTAGAATGATTTCCCTAGCCCATTAAGAATATGAAAGAAAAGGATTTTAGGGACAGTTTCAGAAATTCACCAGTGTTTGAACCTCTGAATATTATCTCAGGGTGTGAGAACAACTAACAGCACCGAGTTAGCTTCACATGATACCTTGTATTCAATTTTGTATTTTCTTTAGGATGATGAATAATTTCAAAATGCAATAGTATCTTGAGGATCAAATAGTAAAATTTTTTGTGGGTATTGCTTTGGAAACATCCTTATCTGCAATATGCTGATTTTACACAGAAGGTCATAGATGTCAGAAATATTAAATAAAATAATACTTTGCGTAAGTATTTTAAACTTTGCTACTTTAAAGTATAGGAAAGTTAGAATAAAAGGAAAATATTTGTATATTGATTTTATTTTAGTGCTTATTTAGTAAAATAAGGTCAGATTATAATAGAAAGATGACTATATTCTGGAATATAACAACCTTATAATGATTTTTATCATTAAACAAAAAATATTAATAGTTAATATTTCTCGAATGCTTATCATGTGCTAGGCACTACCATAAAAATCTCATGTGTGTTCACTAATTCTATTCTTACAACCCTCTTCTGGGTTTGGTATTATTATTGGCATTTCACAAAAGAAGACACTAAAGCACAGTCTGATTCCAGAAACTTGCATTGAAATTCTGCTGAGAATGTGGGCTTTGAAACTGAGGTTCGAATCTTGCTCTGCTATTTAATAAAAGTGACTGTCACTCTTGACAAGTTACTTAACCTCTGTACACATGAATTTCTTCTTTTGCAAAACTCCCAAGCTTCTAGTGAGAAAAAGTATAGCTAGGAATGAAAATTACTTAGCACACTGTCTTGCCACTAGTAACTGTCCAAAAAAAAAGCTAAGATTATTCTTATCATTGTTATTATTAGATAAAAGTAAAGCATCTATTACAATTTAAAGAATGTTGTAGATACTTAATAAATATTAGATCCCTTTCTTGCATATCTACAAAAGTCTTAACAGGCCAAAAGATAAAAAACCTCACAAGTGAAATGGAATCCAAGTGGGATGGAATTTCACAGGACTTTGAGACCATGTCTGTGAATGACCTTGAAATGAAAACCCAGGTACTATTTTTAATTCTGTTTCTAAATTTAAATGTGTCATATTCTCATATAAGTTCTCCCATTGCCAGCTAGTTTGGTGTGCAGATACTGGCTACATTTTTCAGTGTATCAGCTTTCAAATCCTGGCATAGAATCAGTTTCAATGACTATTCACATTTCCCACAGAGGCATAGTAGAATTTAATAAAAGATCTGTGGATTGTAGGGGGAGCAATGGTATCAGGCTATGAAAGATTTGTGATGGCCCTGATATATTTCTTTACTCCTTTCAAAAGCAAAAATCACAAAGTGCTTTTCAAATTACTGAGAAAATTACAACAGAACATTAGCACTCTTTAAATCCAAGCATCACCACTGACTATTAAAATGGATGTACTGCCAAAGTGTACTGGAGGTTCAGTGCTCGAACAAAAAGTTCCCTGGGAGCCAAAGGTAACTGCTGTACACTCTGATCAAGGGTACCTGTCTGCAAAGCTAAATGATGCATCAACACTGCAAGCTCCAATCAATGTAATTGATTTGTGTGTATCATTATGCTATTTGTTATGTTTATGTTTTCAATTGCCAAAAGCAGAATTTGCCAGTGAGGGGCTGTGTTATAGATATAGCAGTTAGAGGATGAAGAGTCCAGTCATTAGTGTTGGCTAAGAACATTACTCCTCAAAAATGGAAAAGTAACAGCTTAAGGAATAGATCTGCTGGCACATTAGCTCAACAAATCCAGGAGGCTAACAGAGAGGTGCTGTTATACTTAAGAGACTGGTTTGGCTTCTAGAGATGCTAAGTAAAAGTGCCAAAATTTCCAAAACCTGGCCCCCTTACGTTAGCGTAGAAACTTGAAAAGTAATGTGACACGAACTCCATACTGATCTAGCAAAGGTTATTGACTAATATTTGCCATCAATTTTTCAAAAAAAGCTGAAAATATGTATGATTTTGCTTACTTCTAACAAAAACTAGCCACAAATATTATAGCATGTTTTGGTTAACATTTCTACATTTTTGCTAAAATTAAAACAATCAAACTGTAACATTGAATGGTTAGGTTTAATCCCTTTAATGATGTTAACAAATTTCAAATTGCCATCAGTATTGGGAATTTTAAAAATTATTGTTTGTTATTATCTCACTGATGGAGATGAGGTAAGGTTATTATGGATGACAAGCATTTGATAAAAACAAAACAAAAACAAAATACAGTGACAACAAAAAACCCCAAAGTAACAACTTTACATTGATTGGCAACCACTTATAACAAAAAATGTTTTACTTCCTAGTATTGCTAAATATACTTTGTTTCACTGAGCAAGATAAAAAAATGATTCAACAAATAAAATTAGGGCTTCATTTCCAGCAAATGCTACTTAGGAGTTACATAACCAATAAAAAGTAGTCTCTCCTCCCTATTTGTCATATAAAATATTCAGGGAGATGAATCTTTGAGTAGCAGACCACACTTTTTGATGAGCAAATTTGGGGATTAAAAACTATATACAAAAATTGAATCCTCCTATCTTGGTTGTAGGAGTCCCTGAATGGTACAAACTATTGACATGCTCAGCTACTAAGTAAAAGGTTGGTGGTTCGAGTTCACCCAGAGTTGCCTCTGAAGAAAGGCCTGGTGATCTACTTCTGAAAAATCAGCCATTGAAAACCCATGAAGCACAGTTCTGCTCTGAGTTACATGGAGTCACCATGAGTAGAAATGACTTGATGGCAACAGATTTACTTTACTTGTCTCTTTATCTTGGTCATAAAGTGGTATCCCTACAGTGTAATCTTACTCTTTTGAAAAATAGTTAGAAAAAAGCAACTGAAGCTTCATGCTTCAAGTGCAGGATTGGAAGTGATTTGATTTATTGCTTCTTTCTTACCATGGTCCAAGGGGAGTCACAGCTAGTAAAGCCATCACCAGCTACAGCCACCTTGAGACAGAGGACCATGCTATGAGAGTGTCGTGCATTGAAACCAAGGATGGTCATTAGGGATAATAGACAGTGGGTACCACTGCTCTATTCTTGGCACACTGCACCCCTAACATAGTGTCTCTTTTAATTGCTTGTGGTCAGTGCCTATTCTGATCTGGTTGGGAAGAAAAAGAACAAGTTTGTTTTCTCCTGGTCTCGATTTCCCTGGCTTACTCTGGAGCTTTCTGCAACATGCCATAATAGATATTTTAAGAATTTTGCTATTTATTGCTGACAAAAAGTTATACAAATAATCAAGAGTCCACTAGATTAAGCCATTTGTCTATCATACCTATCTATACCTTACCAAAAGTGACTTTTGATTAAGGGTGACCTGTAAAATAATGTACTGCATTAGAAGGAACATTTGTAGGAAGCAATATAGCACTTTCTTTACGATTAGCTCGTGTGTGTGTGTTTTTTTTTTAACATAAAGCTCTTCCTTTCTCTGCAATTCTTAAGCACCATCGAGCATATTTTGATTATCTTTGGTACCACCAGTCTGATAGTCTTCTTTCTTTATGTACAATTCAGTGACATACACTCTTGACAAGAAAAAATCATCCACAAGAATTCCCCGAGAAGACATTCATATACAGCATGTGTTAGGATTTTCATTTGGCATTTTCCAACTATACTAATTATGTTATCACTCAATGTAAACTTTAAAAAAGAAAGTCTTCAGTTTAGAAAAAAAGAAAATCTTGAAGTTCTGTTGCCTAACTTCAGAGATATTCCTGTCATCTTTAAATAAAAAAAATATGTTTGAGCTTGTACATATCTGCATATCATGTGTCGCCTCCCTCCCTCTCTCTATCTATATCTTTCTCTCTCTAATTACTCTTCTCTCTAGAATACTGATCCATCCTACAGTAATGGTCACTGCAGAGTTTATTGCCATTTCCAAGACTGTTGCTATCTCTAGAGGTTTTGGCAAGTTATAATTCTCCACTAACTATGTCTATTACATAAGGTTCTCCTTCTCTTTCTCAGGCTATAATTTAAGAGAAAATTCTGCCAAACATAAAAATGAAGTGGTCAATTGTCACATGAATTGAAAATCTGGCAATGTACATATGCTATGTTCTAGTTACCTAGTGCTGCTGTAACACAAAATACCAAAAGTGGGTGGCTTTAAAGAACAGAAGTTGATTTTCTCATAATTCAGGCTACTAGAGGCCTGAATTCAAGAGCTCTAGGGGGAGGTCCTTTTTTGTCAGTATCCCAGGAGTTCCCATGGATTCCTTTGCCTGTAGACAATCCTCACATGGAATCTGTCTTCTCACTATGTGTCTCTGTGTCTATTCTGCTCTTTTTTATAACTCAGAAGTGATTAGGTTTAGGATCCACCCCACTGGTATGACTTCATTAACATAACAAAGAAAAACCCTATTTCTAAATAGGATTACATTCACAGGTACAGGGGTGTCATGGTTTGAATTATGTCCCCCCAAAAATGTGTGTATCAATTTGGCTGGGCCATGATTCCCAGAATTGTGTGGTTCGCCTCCATTTTGTGATTGTAATTTCATGTTAAAGAGAATTAGGGTGGGATTGTAACACCACCTTTACCCAGGTCACATCCCTGATCCAATGTAAAGGGAGTTTCCCTGGAGTGTGGCCTGCACCACCTTTTATCTCTCAAGAGATAAAAGAAAAGGGAAGCAAGCAGAGAGTTCGGGACCTCATACCATCAAGAAAGCAGTGCCGGGAGCAGAGCGCATCCTTTGGACCGGGGTCCCCGCGCAGAGAAGCTCCTAGTCCGGTAGAACATTGATGAGAAGGTCCACAGAGAGAAAAAGCCTTCCCCTGGAGCTGATGCCCTGAATTTGGACTTTTAGCTTACTTTAACTGTGAGGAAATAAATTTCTCTTTATTAAAGCCATCCACTTGTGGTATTTCTGTTGTAGCAGCACTGGATGATGAAGACAAGGGGTTAGGATTTCAACACATATTTTGGGGGCATGATTCAATTCATAACACACTATCAGTAAATGCTACATTTCATCAGTCGTAAGATATCATTGATTATAAGGCACATTACTATACGTACCACTAAAAAAAGAACATATTTCCATTTAAATTTGATACACCATCATTGTAAGATGCGTTCCCATTTCATGGATGAAAAACATGGAGAAGGTGGCACCATAAAATTGATAAAATGTGGAAAGCTTATGTATATTGATGTGCCTTTTTCGCTTGTTCAACTTCTACTGTCAAATACCAAGCACGTTATATTTTATTTACCTGCCTTCTTTCACTTTTTTTTTCAAATCAAATTTATGTGCAAGTCATTTTGCTGATTCTGCCTTGGTTTTAGGATGCAGTTTGAGGCCTATGCTTGGGCTCAATCCAGTGTCATGGAACTTGGCACCATTTACTCCTATGGAATTAATTCCATTTATTCTGCCTTCAATTGGCCAGTGACATAGAATCCTAGATATCAGAAAGAGCTGTTGCATGTGTCCAATATCCAGGCACCATTCTGTTATCCTAGATTAAGAGGATTAGTCCAAAAGTACATATCAATTTTAAAGGGCATTTGAGCTAGTTCTAAAAAATTTTGAAGGGGGAAAATTTAGTCTTCAGTGTCATCCTTCTTTCTGACCATCAACTTTCTTACTCTTTCACAACATCAAGGGCAGAGCATGCTATATTATTCTGGGTTAAACTCACATCCCCCATTAATTGTTGCCCATTCTTTTCCTCATCTCCTCAGGGATAGTAGTTTAGTAATTAACAAATCTGATAATATAATCCTTCTAGTTGGCTAAAGGAAGAGAAGTGGGACTGCCCACAGGAAAAAATGATATACAGTTAACACTGGCCTTTTAGAAACCAATCAGTATTTTTTATTCTATAATTAGGGATTCCAAGTGAGTGTGGCAGTTTTACAATAAGTAGCAAGGAAGGGAAGTTATGGCAGGTCACTAACTAAGATATTTTGGCTCAGAGTATAGTAATCATACGGTATAATTAGATCTCTAATCCATTAATGCCAAAAACTAATCTAGATTTAGGAAAAGCATTTTCCTTAATCTCAACAAAAAGTTTACAATAGTCACACAGTAGTAACTGAAAAAAATCACCCATTCATTTATTCATTCTTCATTTAATATTTTTTAATACCTATTGCTGGCCTTACACTTGGCATTTTTTAAGCTGAAAGACCTGAAGGAAAAATTCAAGCTGTGAGTTGCAATATTGAAGGATTCTGTGGAGAAAATATTAAACGATGCAGGAACATCAAAAGGGGACTGAAGGAATACACAGAGTCATTGTACCAAGAAGAATTGGTCGATGTTCAAACATTTCAGGAGGTAGCATATGAGCAAGAACCAACAGTACTGAAGGAAGAGGTCCAAGCTACACTAAAGGCACTGGCAAAAAACAAGGTTCCAGAAATTGACAGAATACCAATGGAGATGTTTCAACCAACAGATGCAGTGCTGGAAATGCTCACTTGTCTATGCCAAGAAATTTGGAAGATAGCTACCTGGCCAACCAACTGGAAGAGATCCATATTTGTGCCCATTTCAAAGAAAGTTAATCCAACAGAGTGTGGAAATTATCAAACAATATCGTTAATATTACACACAAGTAAATTTTGCTGAAGATCATTCAAAAGCAGTTTGAGCAGTACATATACAGGGAAATGCCAGGAATTCAAGCCAGATTCAGAAGAGGAAGTAGAACAAGGGCTATCACTGCTGATGTCAGATGGATCCTGGCTGAAAGCAGAGAATACCAGAAAGATGTTTACCTGTGTTTTATTGACTATGGAAAGGCATTCGACTGTGTGGATCATAACAAATTATGGATAACATTGCCAAGACCAGAACACTTAATTGTGCCCATGAGGAACTGTACATAGACCAAGAGACAGTCATGCAAACAGAACAAAGGGATACTGCGTGGTTTAAAATCAGGAAAGGTGTGTGTCAGGGTTGTATTCTTTCACCATACTTATTCAAACTGTATGCTGAGCAAACAATCTGAGAAGCTGGACTATATGAAGAAGAACATAGCATCAGGATTGGAGGAAGACTTATTAACAACCTGCAATATGCAGATTACACAACCTTGCTTGGTGAAAGTGAAGAGGACTTGAAGCACTTACTTCAGTATGGATTACACCTCTACAAAAAGGAAGCAAAAATCCTCACAACTGGACCAATAAGCAACATTACGATAAATGGAGCAAAGACTGAAGTTGTCAAGGATTTCAATTTACTTGGATCCACAATCAACACCCATGGAAGAAGTCAAGAAATCAAACAAGTATTGCATTGGGCAAATCTGCTGCAAAAGACCTCCTTCAAGTGTGAAAAAGCAAAGATGTCACTTTAAGGACAGAAGTGTGCCTGACCCAAGCATAGTGTTTTCAATCGCTTCATATGCATGTGAAAGCTGGACAATGAATCAGGAAGACCAAAGAAGAATGGATGCATTTGAATTATGGTGTTAGTGAAGAATATTGAATATTCCATGGACTTCCAAAAGAATGAACAAATCTCTCTTGGAAGAAGTATAGCCAGAATGCTCATTAGAAGCAAGGATGGCAAGACTTCATCTTACATACTTTGCACATGTTATCAGGAGGGATCAGTCCCTGGAGAAGGAAATCATGCTTGGTAAAGTGGAGGGTCTGTGAAAGAGAGGAATACCCTCAACGAGATGGACTGACACAGTAGCTGCAATAATGGGCTCAAGCATACGATTGTGAGAACGGTGCAGGACCAGGCAGTGTTTTGTTCTGTTGTACATAGGGCAGCTATAAGTGGGAATTGACGTAAGGGCAACTAACAAGAACAACATTGTTGGCCTGGCCTGGGCTAGGTGTTAGGGATGTAGCAATAAAACAGATTGGCTTCTGCTCTTATATAGTTTATGGTATAGCAGAGAATATGGATATTAAAAAATAACTATATGTCTAATAGGTGTTATAAAACTGATGCACAGGGTGCTATGGGGACTCACCTAGTTTTTGACAGAGTTTAAGGAGATAACACCTTATTTGAGACCTACAATTTGGGTGTATACTAACCTGGTGAAGGTAGGGAATGGTGTAGGGTTACAGCATTTTAACTTAAAGAAATTGCCAGTCTATTTGAGGGCCCACAGATCAGAGAGCTAACAGTACTGTACTAAATCTAAAAGAAGCCAAATATGAATAAAACATAGGGAGGAAGAGTGTCAGGGATGAGATTAAAGATACAGGTAGGGAGAAATGTAGATGAAATTATTGGGAAACAGAAGTTGAGCTGGTAGGCTATAAGCCTAGAGCTCTGGGGTAGTGTGGACAGGCAGGGGCACGAGGTAAAGAAAACTTACCTGAGAATGACACCAGTGAAGTACAAAGCTGAGTGAAGAGATCAAGAGAGAATGAGAGACAAAATCCTAATGACAATATTTGAGCCATCTATGTTGTGAGACCTGTGAGGAATTTTAAGGAATTTGGACTTCATTGTAAAAGCAAAAGGAAGCTATTAAAGGGTCTTAAACAAAGATCTATCTAGTTTCTGCTTTTTTAAAAAAACACTCTAACCTGAGAGTGAAGAATGTGCTGGAGAATTGATTGAGTGGATGGAGAAGACCACTGAGAATGGCTTTGCAGTAGTCCAGGCGGGACCATGACGGTGGCAACTGGAGTAAGGTGGCTGGCAGTAGAACTGGAGAAAAATAGATGGATTCGAGAACAAGCAAAATAAAATCACTATAATTTATGCAGACAGTGAAAAAAGAAGCAATCAAGGATGAGTGAATGAGTACAATTTTTCTCTCTTGAGCAACTGAGTAGATTGTGATACCATTTTCGAGAAAGGAAAATTAGAAAAAGTACAGAAATGAGGAAGAAATCCCTGAGGAACTCTGACATTAAGGATCAGATAGAAAAGAAAGAGGTGAAAGAAGAGACTAAAAAGACAGGCAAATAAGTAGAAAGAAAATCTAGAAAAATTGTTACTAAAGAAACCCAGGGAAGAGTTCCCAGGAAGAGTTATCAACAATATGAAATGCTGCTGAAAAATCAAGCTAGATTAAAAAACTAAAATTGGTCTACCGGATTTATTGACATGGGGACTGTGGCAAGACCAATTTTGGTAGTGTAGTAAAAACAGAAACCATCAAGGGTATGTCTGTGAAGAGAGACAATGAAACTACAGACTATAAACTCATTTAAGGCGTTTGACAGTGAAGAAAGAGCTGTGAAGAATGCAAGTAATAGAAACTCATTTAAAACTAGTTTAAATGAAAGGGGGAATTTCTTATAAGGATACAAAGGAATCTCAAACATTCCAAGGAGGGCCTAGGTCACAATTTGCCA